AAAAAAAAAAAAGGCAACCTGCTTTACTTTACATAGTTGGATTCTCATTTAAGTGACCTGCAGAATTGCTGTTTTGGGGTAGTAGGTTATGTAAATTAAGTCTGAATTTGCTTCAATCCTTTGTAAGTGGCATCAAGTTTTATTACACTTTGGAAATCTGTCTGGTTTTCATATGATTTAATACTTTATGCCTTCCTGTTTATTGAAATTTAATCCAAACAAAATTTGGGTAAACATTTCTTCATCTGTGAAAAGACTCAAAGCTCTGGAGTCATACTCTTTCTGAGAAATTTATTAAAATTACTACAACATTTTTATCATCTTAGAGGTATAAAAAGGATTAAATGCTGCTTGACTTCTTTTGGACTGTCTGCTGGAAACTGTTCTGCATACATTTGTTACATGCACATTGAATTTCTGCAATTCTTTGATTGCAGCTCTGCCAGAAACATCATTCCAAAAATTGTAAAGCATCCAAAATGCAGCAGCAAAAGTGATTTCTGGCACCTGTAGGAACATTTTTCCAATCTCTGAGTCACCAAACCTTTACTCAAAGTTAATATTTTCCTTTGATTTTGGTGGGGCCATAAACTTACTTGCTCCCAAACTAACTCACTTGTATTATGTTTAACAGAATTTTGTTTGACCAAATTGCTCTTAAGATGTACAGTGATGACTTAGAGAAACTTTTCAGTTACAGTGAAAACTGTTATAAGAGATGTCAATTAACTGATCAATTATGAATTACCAATGTAATCTACATTGCTACATCAGAATGCTCAGTTTCTTTAGGTGATGTTGAAATAAGAGATTGTGATCAGAAATTCTGCTTTTTAATGGTATTGTGTCATCTGGCTTGCTGAGTTGAAATTTAATGGAAGACAAAAACTATTCTTCTGTGAGTTTAGTCATTAGAAACAGCTACAAACATTAGATAATTTACACTGCTTAAAAGGCAGAGATGGCTACAAATACTACTTGCTATGGAATTCAATACACTATTGATTTTTAGAAATATTAAATGAGAAAGTCTTTCCAACATATTCTGGTACAAATGGTTTTGTCTGATTTTTGTAATGAATACATTGACTAAAGTCAATGGGAACTACGGGCCTTCAGTGCTGCTGAAAGTTAGGCATCTCTTTTTTAAAGAATCAAATTATATGAGACAGGTATGACAACAGAGCATGGCTCACATAAAACCAGATCAGAAAACTACATGAAATGCAACTTTATTGTTGCCAAAGAACATTAGGTCAGAAAATGCTGCTATGTTATTTTAACCAAAGTAGTCTTCCCTTTTCCTTAAGAAAAGAGGAGATTTATAAATCTGGCTACCAAAAGGAACAGGAGCTTTTCCAGCTTTATGTGTCTGAGAACGGATATCAAGATGGATAGATACTCACAAATCTATGCTTGCTCTTGAGCAGCTGGCCTGTAATCCAAAACCACAACATCAATATATCAATATATAATTATATTATATATAATAATATAATTATATTATACATCAATTATTATATCAATATATAATATAATTATATAATTATATTATATATCAATAATATCAAACACCTAAAGTCATAAGTTTTATTACAAGAGATAGAAATATGTGACTAATTATTGAGGCTCTTCTGCTGCCTTTTGCACAGAAAACAGCATGATTTTTGAAATCCCAGACACATAAAAGCAAATGTGGCAGAACACTCCTACTTTCAAGCCAACAAGCACACAAGTTCTGGCTAGATCTTACTCAAATAATGGGATTTACCAAAACCTTCATGAAAGAATGCAAATTCTTTATAGTATTGTTCCTCATTCTTTCCTGTTTCAAGTCTCTCCTGACCCACAAAATTGTCATACATCATTAGGTTAGGAAATCAGTTGTGCCAATTATTAGTCTCATGACAGTAGGTTTTTCAGTTGCTAAGATTATGTGTTTACCTGAGAATCTTGTAGCTCACTTAAAAAGCATGGTTCTGATTCTGGCCATTAGAGTTTCAGTGAAAAGCAAGAAAACAAGAATTCCGGGAACTCAAAGGGCAAAACAGAAACGAAAAGGAAGAATGAATAAAATAAATGCATATTTGTGGTTAGGAAGATCTCATGAAATTTAAGTCCGTCTCTTGATTTTTTTTGGTTCAGATTCATCTGTTTTTCATGTTACAGCAAATCAGGGGTAAAACACCCACATGCCTCCCTTTGCAGCTGTGCAACTTGTGTTCACTAGTTCCCCTCCATCTTTTTTAAAGCAGCTTGGGTTAGGCTATATTTGAAAACTTGCAGTGTTGCTGTGGAATGACCAGCAAATGTCACTATAGACTGAAGCAAAGTTTGTGCCTCTGCCTTGGAACTAAATATGAAAATGTTTGAAACCTTGAGGAGGACAGAAAACTGGCAGAACAGGTTACAAAATGGCATTGCAGACTGGCTGCAAAACATTGTATAGAGATTACTGGGCTAACTGAAGTATGTAATATAGTTATCCCCAAACCAAGAAATACTGGAGTATTGCTGAGTTACTGGAGTATAAGCTGAGTTATGACTGTAACTAATGATATTCTACTAATTCTAACAACCAAATATGCTAATAATAATGGGAAAAAAATCATTTAAACATTTTCAGCAGGATTTGAACTTCAAACAGAAACAAGAGACATTGATTAGCACAAGGATGCAGTCTGTCTGCATTACATATTAAAATTGTCTATACTGAGAAGTAATCTAGAGGAAAGAAGGAAAAGCAGCCCTGCGGTTAGAACCAAAGACTAGGGTCATAGCAGCTGACTTCTTCCCTAGAACAACCATTAGTTTTCTGAAAGCCTGAAAAAATCACTTAATCTCCTTGCGTTTTATTTTTCCCATTTATAAGAAGGTGGTGATAATTCCTACCTTTAAGGTTTAATGGAGTTTAGTTCATTAATGTTTGTACAGCAAGTACAGATACTTGGCAGCAGAGTACTGTAGAAATATTTGATATTACTATTATACAGGAATATATCAAAAGAAAAGCAATGCAATAGCACATTCTTTAATAAAGAGAACTCTCAAATTAATATGCATGATTTTTTTTAAGTAAAAGGAAAAAAGTAAAAATAATTTCCTATTAGCTAATTTAACAACACTTCTTTCCACCAGAGTGTTGTCATCTTGGGTCCCAACTACATGTGAACAATACATTCAACTCATCCTCTAAGTGCAAAATGAAATAAAAGCACTCAGAAAATAAAATAACTGTTTTTCCTAAGGCATAAGTGTAATTAAAAACATAAGATTATAAATGAAAATCAACAGCACTGTTGAGTTTATTTTATAAAAAATGATTCTCTGTGCACAATGGCTATATGTATAATTGGGATAGTGCTGTACAATAAAGTTCCATTAAGTAACAACTTATCATAGTGAAAGCAGTAATAAGGTTAAACTCTTAAGTTAAGTGGAAAGTAAGTCAGTCTAAACCCCAGCAGGTTTTGTACTAGTGGCATCGCTAATGTTTTTGAAAATGTTCTAAATGTTCCTTCTCAAATATATGTATTATACATTGCAGTATTGTTAATTATATCCATTTTATCTTTTATACACTTCCCCAGGAGATCAGTGAAAAATGGAAAACTTACTTATAGTGGATTTCAGATTTAATGAGACAAAGATGGTTTAATATATATGACAAAGTGATGTGCTCTAACCATGTTTGATAAGTAATTTTTTTTCTACTCTAATGGCTACCATTTTAAAAATAATTAATGTATTATTTATGTAATTAATAGATAATCAACCAAGTAATTAAATACTCTGGTTATATCACAGTATGTGTGTACTATAATACCCTGTTTAACAACTCTAGAGCTCTTGGCATGACATCATATTATATATATATTAAATATTCTGTATTAAATATTATATATATTATATATATTATATATATTATATATATTATATATATTATATTATATATATTATATATATTATATATATTATATATATACACATACAAATTTAATTTCAAAGATTTATGCACATTCTGAATATGTAAGTGAAATTTTTATAATAGTTATGTTCATATACACATGTTCATATACGTTACACATATATTGCTAGGTCTTTAAAAACAAGTTTGTTAGAATTCAGATTTTTAAATCCATAGTTATGCACTTATATCAATGCCATAAATTTCCACAGAAACAATAACTATCCAGCATTTTCTATTGATAACATGGGTCCATGGCTGTTAAGTTCTTCAGCTTTATCAACATTTTCTTCATAATCACTAACATTTAAAAGTTCGCTGGTAGAACAAATAGAACCAGCATAACATTTTCCCTGACAGCAGAAGATCAAGAATCAGAAAAAAGACAAACAACATGGATGTAATAAAGAAATTTAAAGTTGTATTCAAAGAAACATGCTCAGGAACCTGAATAGAAAACCAACTTCATCTACACTGACATAACTCTCCCCCTCAATTCTCATGACTGGAAAAAGAAGTATAAAGACTGCCTAATTTGGAAGACAGACAGTTTTCCACTGTTGTTTTCTTGAATATTTGTCTAAAAAAATATTTGATATTTGTTTGGAAGTGTTTGCAATCTGCCCTTTGAGGTGAGTATTCAATAAATTGTCCATTGCTGAGTGCTTTTGCCCTAGACACTCTGTTGTACCAGAGAAAAACATCTTTACCTCTAATACTCAACAATTACTCATGATTTGTTTCTTATTCTTTGGTCAAAGACGACTTGTAAAGTGACCTGTAAGGATAACTCAGATGTGGGTTTACTTAAAAGTCGTAGCTATGAACAGAAGAAAATCACATAGTGCCATCAGATTTATTTGCTAACTTAATAGTCCTGTATCCTAAACTGTTCCGAATGAATTAATTAATACATAAATGAAGGCTAAAATATGAGTGCATGAGGACATTGCATTATGCTATGTATACGTTAAATATTTTATCCTACCATAAAGAAGAGTATCTATGAAAACTATGACTGTTTTTTTATTACCTTAAAATATTGCAGTTGTTTCTCAGCATTCATTGTTCCTTCATTTTCTTGTCTCAGACAGGAATTGAAGATGAAAAGCTCTGTATCTCTCAGCCACCCTTTCAGCTCTTTGATCCTGACCTCCAGCTGCCTTACCAGGCTGCCGCTTTCAGGCGAGAGCAGGTCACGTGGACCTAACCCACTGTGCCCTACCATTGTGTCTTGGATCTTCTCTCCTAGGGTTTTCTAATACATCAGATAAAGAAAACATAGATTAGTCTTATGCACCAAAACACATACAGGTTAATGAGCAACAAGAAGCATCTGTTAGATGACTAGAGAGGTTTTTATTTTTAAATTACTACTAATATCAATCAATTTCACTCTTTGTTTCCTTCTTTCAATCAATTTCATATTTTGTATCTTTGTTTTTCACTAATGCCACAGTGTTGTTCTCTATGGGTCACTGGCTTTGCTGGAAGCATGATAAATCAATGTTTATTAGGAGCAACTGTGGACAGAGAAGACAAAATGCTACATAACTTTATAAAGTAGTTTCAGAACTTGTCATCTACTTTAGATACTTATGACTATAGGACTTACGATTTCTTGGCTGTAAGAACAGAAAATACAGCAAGCTCTGAGCCCATCTGGATCTAAGTTTTTAGCGTAACATTGCAGTAATGAAATATTTCCAAGGTACAAACTGTCAGGTCAGAGTTTCCAAACTTGCAGCCCCGAAGTTATGTACAGGAACAGTTAGGTCACATAACATCTGGCTTGATTGTAAAAGCGGATGAACTCATTCAGACACCAATAAGCTAGAAATTGCAAAGCCATCAAACCAATTATTTGGGCACCTAAATTTGGATCTAAGTTCTCCATGTTAAGCATCCACTTTAAAAATAATGGATCAAAATAAACATTCACCTCTGATCATTAATGAAACTAATTAACTATAGCTTTTCAAAGTAGCACTTCTAATAAAGGAATTGCTGAATAACATTTTGATAGCGGACACGGTGATGGTAATGAATATTCTGAAGAGGCCAGAGATAGGAAGTTACCTTCCTTTTTAATATTTTGAAAGGCAATCATTTAAACATCACAAAGGAAATATGCAGTTGCCTGCTTCTCCTATGCCTAGCAGTATTTTATCTGACCTGTAAGAGGCTGTCAGTCTGACACTTATTATAAGTAGTAGATCTGTGTTACTGATTGTAGAATACTCAATATACACTGACAATCACATCCAATAACCTTTTAAACTGATAATTAGCAGTGGTTAATTGTTGTAACATGAAGACATGGTTTTAGGTGACCTAGGATGTCTGTCTGTTGGAAATACACCCTTCATTAAGTTACTGGAATATAATCTATCATAATGAACTTAGCTTCCAAAATAAGCTTAAAAACCACAAAATTAGATCAACAGACATTAATCTACTTTGTGGCATTCTGTAAATAACGTCCTTAGGAGATCATAACTGAAAAACATGTTTTCTTGGCACCACCCTTCTATTTTCATGGTGCAAATATTGATAATTTGAAGACCCTCAGTGGAATCCAGTGCTAGCTATTGTTTTCACGCTGTAACAAAAGTAGCAGCAGGAGGTGAAATCAATGCCCTTGGAGGGTAGGGTCACAAAAAAGAATTTATTGCCACTTTTTTGTTCTGGAACAGTTTGCAATCATAAATTCTTCATAAACAGAATACTTCAGAGAATGGTCCGTCTTCATAAATATACGACAGAGGACATCAATTTCATTTAATTCACAATTTGTGTCAGCACAGCAGATGCCAATGCCTGCCTTGATAGGGTTGTTTAATATGCAATTGAGACAGAGTAATATTCAGCACAGGGGACAAAATTTCACAGATTAAACTGTACGCACCACTGACATTTCATTCTAATGTATTTCCATTCCACACTGTTCACCTTAGATGAAAGTAATATTAAAAACCATATCCCTCTATTTTACCATTGTTAGAAGTTAAAATCCTTGTCTTTAATTTTTTTTCATGCCAATTAAAACATAATCATGCCAATTAAAACAGTATGCCTACCACCGTTAGTTTCTGTGAAGATTTTTATTAAATTAAACAAAACTCTATCAAACTCTGCTTATTATTAGTGAAATTGCATTTAGCAGGAAAACAGGAATACTTCTTTTTTTTTTTTCTGTAAATGCTGAAATTATTTACAAAACTTAATCCAGAGGTATATTTTAATCTCAACATGCAGAGAAGAGGGGGCTTCAATTTTTCTTAAGAAGTTTTCTTAGATTTTTTGTAATTATTATCACTTACTCATCATTTGCATCCTACCAGCTGTAATCAGTGCAACTGCATTAATCTGATTAAATACACTGAATGTCATAAATATAAGGCTAACTAAAATTATTTTAAAATTTTAAAATAAAATACATGAATTTATGTAAAAGAACAGGTTAATAGGTCCCATTTTTATTAGCAAATTTATTCTTGTTCAAATATTTCAAAAATGCTACATATTACAATTATAACTGGAAAATAATAAGCTCACTAGTTAGAAGACAACTTTTAACATTTTCTGACAATTTGCAGATTTAGACAATCAATCAGTTAGAAACAACTTTCACTGAACTAAACGAACTCAACCCTCTATAAAATGGCTATTGTATTACCAAATAAGCTAAAGCGACACAAGTCAGTATTTAAAATGATGCTGGCAAGTTGCATGTATAGTTTACTCATAATATATTAGAAATGGTTTTTAAGCTCAGATAATAGCATGCAAAATTATGCAATGTGACTGTATTGTTAATATCACGCATCTATAATTAATCATTTAAAGTAATTTATAAATTTATCTTACCCTTGATTTGAAGTGAAGGCAATTAAGGAGAGAAGTGGATGGAAAAATATATAGTTTGACCTCTCTGTCTCTCTCTCAGCTGTTTTACAACAATAGGACTACAGTGTCTCCTGCATGGTGCCATCCCTGGTCTCTGGATAACAGAATCTCTATATTGCTTTTTTTGCCAGATTCTTGTATCTCACTCCTTGGCTGAGACCCAGCCCATCATAGCGTGAAATGAATTACATGAAACTTTTCTGGCTTTTGTCAAAAGTGAGCTGAATATAGCAGTATGAAACATATCCTGGCTGCATTCTAAGCTTCAGGTGTTCAGATTTATACAGAATCTGCATATTTGTTTTTGAGCCATCAGAGTGACCTGAAATATGCGGTGACAACCCCACTTTTCATCTTAAGGGTATAGTAAATAGTTAAACAGTAGATGTCTCCAACATGTACCTTCAGAATAAATTCTATTAACATTCACTCAAGCATGACAGTCAGTGTATATCAGATATACTGCATTATAGTTGACTTGGTGCATACCCGTAATACATGGCATATTTTACTTACATTTTTATGTATTAAAGAACTAAAATTATTAAAGTCAGACAGGAGACTGGAATAAAAAAAAATCAACACAAGAGGAAAATACTATGGAGTTTTTATAATAGCATGAGTAGCTTGTTTGAAATGTACGTGGTGAATTGAAAGAGAGAGATATTTGTGCCTCAAATTAGAAATCAGGCAGACAGCGTACTTCAACACACAAAAATGTACACATAACCCACAAACAGTAATAAAAATGCAAATACCCCGAGCAGTTCCCATTTTTCATTAATTGAATCCACTTTTTCAAGGAGATCATTTGGTAGTAAAACACCACTTTTCTTCAGAGCTTCAACCTTACTGAGCAGTTCCATCTTTTTCGGTTGCCTGATTGACATTTCTACGCTGTATCTCTAAAAAGAAAAGAAATAGATAATATTAGCTACTGTGACGAGTCTTCTCTACAAAAAAAACCTTGAACTTTAATTCTAAGAGTCCAGTTGATCATGCTCACTGTACTATTTTCTTCCCCCCCTTTTTTTTTTAACACATAATCTTATTACATATCTGAAGAGATTTAGGTACCAATCATATTGCCTTCTGGGTGACATATAAGCACAGGCAGTTAGTGATGGATTACACTTAGTAATATCCACTTACTCACAATATTCACGATATTCACATGTGCGATAGCATTCACTAACATCCTCTCATCCAAAGCTTGATCTGCCTTGTCTCATTCAAGGGAGTTGGTATCTTATTTTTCAAATATGCTACTTCATCAGGTACCACTGAGTCTCTCCACTGAAAAAAGCCCATGGAAATAATTACAGATTTATGTTTTCTGTGAAGTTTATTTTTGCTCCCTCTCCATTTTGCCTTATACATGGGCTTCAAACATAGCAGCACATGAAAATGTGAGGGCTTCACCTTAGAAAAACACTTCGACGTAACTCACTTGTAACAGAATACAAGTAACTTGATTTTTATTGTGTCAACCAAGAGTGAAATGGCACACAAACGACAATGGCCAAAGTGTTAATACAGTCCTGCAACAATGCTTTATTTCCTCCGCTGTTAATTATTCCTTAAAAAATAAAAAAGAACAGAGAAAACAGGACTAAAACCAGAAACTTTTTACAAAATCGACTTAATACAAATTTTTGAATATTTTAGCTGCATGTCTAAATATGTGATATATACTCTATTAAAATGTATTCTAATCTGGAGATGCACAGGGAAATACATCTCTTTAAGAAAATTTTATTCTCTGAAAACCTGAGTTAAGTGTTCAGTGTGACAGCTACTACACTGATCAATTAGTAGCTGTTACTTTGGGTTTAAAAAAACCCAAAATTTAAACACAGACATATACTCATATACATGCCATACCTATAGGTAAGCTAATTCACTCTCTGTCTTACATACAAACTACTTATAGAAATAGGAGTAGTCAAAATCACACCTTTTAGTGGTAAAGGAGAGTTCAAAATGTATTCTTAAAGGAGTTCATGAGACATTCATAAATTATGCAGAGTTATTAGCAAATTACATCCCAAACATTAAGCTTCCTTGCTTTATTTTCAGCCATGAAAACTGGAACAGCAGCTCACACGGCAAATGCTAGTAACTGAGCCAAGTATAAAAATTAAATATGAATAAGGAATGTTTAAAACATGGGTGCCTTTTCCAGATGTAGAGAGATATTCTGTAGGAAAACAAAGCAAAAATACAATTGGAGACAGCTTAAAGAAAATAATAAAGGTGTGAAATCACTGTTTCAGCTAACAAGTCCTCAGCATTTCCATGCATATGTTTGCATATTGTTAGTTTCATATTTTAATCTTTCATTTGCACAACACATGCACATCATTTGTATTATGTAAACTTCAGCAAATATTAGTCGTTTGTGGATCACAGAGCAAATGTTTTAAATGAGGTGATTTAAACCATTTCTCATTATTAATGAACACTGATCAGGTGTCTGTGTATCCAAAATTACATGAATATGCATAGTAAAAAACAAGGAATTGTTTGTAAAGAATTTGCCTTGTGATACAGAGTGCACTGTGACTAGTTTCAGACCTGTAAATATTAGGCATCGACCAGATTTCACACTGGCAAACTGAATTCTCAGTTCAGTTTGGCCAACATCATTCTGTTGGACTGAAATGTTCAACAAGTACTTTTCTTGGTCCCACATCTTTGCCTTTTCAGCTAGAATGGTTACTGGAGGCAATTACGATCTTCTTCATGCAATCTGATTTCTATTTAAAAATGATATAACTGAAAAGGATTTGCATAATTATTTCTATGAGTACATGTAATATCAAGGGGAATCCAGAGTCCAATTTGCTAGGCACTGAAATCCAGTTCATGCTACTCCCTTTCTTTTGTCAAGTGAATTAATAGACTGAGAGAGTCCTCTAGCTGTGTGAGGCTGGTGCAGGCATAGCTGGCTAATGCCTATCACCTGTTACAGGCTGCTACAGGGTGGACTGCAGTTGGTAGTGGTCCTGGATGGCATAGGACCAATGAAGAAAAAAAAATACAGTGAATGTTTTGTAACTACAGTGTTTTGCTAACAGAGAAATGTAAAATGTTTCCTTTAATTTTGGGTCAGATGAAATAATGCAGTGAAGCATAATCCAAATAGAGTGATGATGTTATTAAAGGGTTATTACATTAAAAAATAAATCAGATAGATTTTATGTACAATCTCTGACTTTGTCACCATGTAACCTACTGTATAAACAAGCATGACAAGCACTGATTGACAGAAAATGCATTATACTATAACTATAATAGATGAAAATATTCAGTTCATTATTAGGTATCGGTATGTGACTGAGAGTCAGTATTGTTTCATTTCTGGATATTTAATATGCAGTACGTATTTTAAGTTAAGGGAAGAGCTTAATGTTAGGAGGTATAGTTTAAGAACTGATATAGTTTAAGAACTACATGCTATTGCTAATGCTATTTTTTAATCCATTAAACACCTACACTCTAAGCAGTTGCATGGAAAAAATTAGCTAGCAGCTCTATCAGCGCAGCACAACCCTAGTCTGGTAGGACTTCTTAATCCTGCAGTGAGAAGATAATTTAATCTTTAGATTCATTCTTTCCTCAGCTTTAAGTGAGCAAATGCTGCTCCATTGTGACAGTCCATGGATGCTATGATATAAATCATTGTTTAATAGGCAAAAATAAGATTAAGTAAAAGTTCCGGTAGCTTTTAATATTTAATTTCTCATGACACTTCTCATGTTAAAAAGTTGGGAAAAAAATATAATGAAATAAACCCGCAAAATATTTACAGCACGATTAGCTGCACGCATGCATGGCTGGCTTTGTGCTCCTGAAGCCACTCAAAAGAAATTCCAAGTTAAAGCATTTGGGCTTTTCATTCCCTCTCTCTCAATATGATTAGTACTTCTCTAAAGAAAAACAGTAGAATTTAGCAAAAAGCAGTAACATTTATTTATGAATAAGTTTGGCAAAATATTTAAACCATGAGAAGTTGAATTCCAAAACAAAGCAAGTTAAATTTCCTTTGATAAAAATGTTTTACAAAACCTAGGCAGGCTTGATTGAGACATGTTTTTTGACACTTTAATTAAATGATGCCTCTTTTCTTTAAAAAAATTATATAAAACATTTTTTGTTTGAAAAATCACACCCGAAAATTCTGCCCAAATGGAGACTGGAACAATGCCTTGTAACAGTGTTAATTGTCACCATGGAAACCAGAAGAATAAGCCATTTTGAAACTGGTATAGAAGGCACACATTGAGCAACTCAAGCATTTTTCAGCCTCCTTCAGTGTTAAGGAACAAGATGCCTAGTCACTGAGAGGTCAGAGAAAGAAATCATCATGAAAGGTTCGTAGATGAGCACTGTCTGGTAAGCAATAAAAAAATCTGTACACAGTTAACAACTCCGTAAGACTGCACACCACATCTTTCAGAAAGAGAAACATCACAAAAAGATGATCAGGATGAGGGTGCAGATTCCGTTTCCCAAGCAAAACTTTAGGGCAATATTATGCAAACCTTGCCCCTAAAGCTCCCTGGGAATTCTGTTGTTGTAATAAAACTTCAGAAGAGGAAAGGAAAAAAAAAAGCCTGCATGATGGAATTCAAAATAATGCTCTAAAAGCACACAGAGAGATTAAGACATCCATTGTAAGACTTTTGTATGGTGCTTCTGTTGGTTATAGTGAAAAGAGACTAGACATACTGAACACACAGTGGAGCTATGGCTACGAAGTACAGAAGAATTAAGCCAGTGAACTTTCTTCATTATTGGAATAAGGGTGTGCTATTTGTAGATGTTCTGCATTCCATCATTCACATACTAAAAAAGTGCCTTCAATCAAATGGTACTGCACCACAGACAACTGAGATCACAACTCAGTGACTTCCAGTTTAATTTTTACCTAGATTACATCTTTAAATTTTAAAACTTAGCCTTTTGGAATGATTTGGTTGAGGCAGACACAAATAGACATGCACAGTCAGGGGTTATATATGCAGACATTCAGTGGTGACACATTCACAAAACATGGTATATACATAAAGTAAATACTTTGCAGGTAAATTCACCAAATACCCAATATAAATATACGTAAACATACAGCCATGCACATATAGCAATATTTGCCCATCATCTCTTCACACACATTCTCACTTTGCTTTCTGGATAATGTTTGCACTCTTCATGCTAGGCTTCATGGTGGCCCCTTAGGAAGCCCATGCCTAATGCCATTCAGTGAAGAACAAAGAGTCTTTTTATTCCAAAGTCCAGGGTCCAAAGCTCAGCTGTATACAAGCAAAGTGAAGGAATCTGCTAGAGGCCAGCCTTCCCTTCACAATAGCTCTTAATGCTTCTACCTTTTTGGTACTATCAGTGTGAAACATTTTAGAAACCGTCCAGAAGCTTGGTTATATATCTTATGTTGTCAATAGTACTAGAACCTCTGGACAACAATCAAGATCTCAGCTGAATGCTTTGTCTAGATAAATAGCAGTTGCTGTTTCTTGCAAACTTCATGTATTTCACTATTAGCAATATATGGTAAATAATTGCACAGGGAAATTATAGAGACTCCTACAATTGTCCTTGTAAATTAATAATAGGCTTTCCTGATTGGGATAAATTTGTTGCTGAGCCTTTGGAAAAATTAAAAAGTGCAATGTCATTTAAAATTGCCAGAACTCACAGAGCAAATTACATCTGAGGTTAAGAATCAGTTTTTCCTCTCCTAGTTTATTCCATTTGCATGATCTGAAAATCATATTACATTGGCTATGTATTGTTAATTGGACATAGATTGCATTATCTTTAATATAAATCAAACTACAAATACTAAAATGAATTGCAAATTCTTTAATAGAAGATCATAAAACAA